GAGAGAGAGAGAGAGAGAGAGAGAGAGAGAGAGTGAGAGAGTGAACCAGAGAGGGAGTGTGTATGTGTCAGAGAGAGAGAGAGAGAGGTGTGCGCGCGCGCGTGTGTGTGTGTGTGTGAGAGAGAGAGAGAGAGAGAGAGAGAGAGAGAACCAGAGAGGGAGTGTGTATGTGTCAGAGAGAGAGAGAGAGAGAGGTGCGCGCGTGTGTGTGTGAGTGAGAGAGAGAGAGTGAACCAGAGAGGGAGTGTGTATGTGTCAGAGAGAGAGAGAGAGAGAGGTGCGCGCGCGTGTGTGTGAGTGAGAGAGAGAGAGAGAGTGAACCAGAGAGGGAGTGTGTATGTGTCAGAGAGAGAGAGAGAGAGGTGTGCGCGCGCGTGTGTGTGTGTGAGAGAGAGAGAGAGAGAGAGAACCAAAGAGGGAGTGTTTGAGGGGGAAACCAACGTTGGCACGCTGAGCAAAAAGCCGTTGGGCCAACGTTGGCAATATGACGTTGGGCCAACGTTGGCCCGCCGAGAAAAAATCTGTTGGGCCAACGTCGGCTGCCAACGTTGGGCCAACGTTGCCCCGACGAGCAAAAATCTGTTGGGCCAACGTTGGCATGGGCTGAAGACAGCCGTTGGGCCAACGTTGGCATGGGCTGAAGACAGCCGTTGGCCCAACGTTGGCCCAACGTCAGCATGTTATCTGGGCGTGTAAAGGAATAATGTACGTTGGAATCACACCTCAGTAATTGTTTGCACGTTGGCAGATGAGGAAAGAGCTGGGAAATTTCGACCCGTCGTTTTTTGAAGAATTGGAAGATCTTAAGTACAACTACCAGCAGGCTGTGCAGAAGAACTCTCAGTATGAAGAGAAGCTGACTCAACTCTCTCATCAGTTCGGCATCGATGTCCAGATACCGGGAATATGAGCTATCGTATTTAGTCTTGCCTCTAAAATGATTTATCCAGTTATAAGCCATATCGGAAAGTCCCCGCCGCCATATTGAGATCAGATAAGAAGGGGTATAAGTTGCCCTTTTATAACATAGTTAGGATAGGACTGGTCTAGGTTTTTGATCTATAATTCTCTTCACTAACATCGTACTTCAATTCACAGGTGCGTTTCTGATTACAGAAACATTTACAAATATGATTGTGGTCATTTGGGATATTTTGCAATGTTTGTGTTAATGCAAAAACTAAAAACGCGCGAGTGTTTACATTAATCATGTACTTTCCTAATCGCGCCTCGGCCATTTTATACCCCCTTTTTCTATGACCTATATAGCACAGCTGGACTTTCCGATATCACTTATTCGGCAGTACATGTCGATGGAAAACTCCATTTTTATGGGTTAACGGGTGGTAGCATTACATGAGTAACTACAACACGCACGCGTGGAAAAGCGTCGCAGTTGTTGTTGATAAAGCCTGTGTGTAAGACCATTTGCCTTGTTTGTGATACAATGTCTAGTTTTCATAGCGTGTTTTTTTCGGGAGCGCGTCTTCCAGAACATATCGTGCTGTGATAAAGGTGCACTCGTGCTCCTATATACATACGTATTTGGCACGTGTAACCAGTCTAATCCGCCCTTTACTTATTATATACAGTGGCTGTAGCCATCTGGTATATCCAAGCATCATGCCAGCGCTAGTCAATAATATCCTGGTGATTATTACATGTATTATATGTACTTGAAAGTTTGCATGCTGGCAGATAGCTAGACTGGCTGGCAAGGCTGTTAAACATTGCTAGCATCCTGAGGTCATGCACTACCGATTCGTTTACTACTTTTTTCATAAAATTCGATATTTGTAGTGACATCCACTTTTTAGAATTGACAACCAAAGCGCTGAGCACTATAAACGTGTCCTGTCATTCCAATAAGGCTATTTGTGTGACTTGTGTCTAGTAAGTTGTGTGTGAGTAATACGTGTATACAACATATCAGCATGTGTCTGTCATTTGAAGACACATTGCAGTAGTTTATGATCTCTATTGCACTAGTACATACCAAAGAGAGTGAAAGAAATTGCAGTGAGTTTTCAATATTGCATAGATGTGGAGCATTAAACTTTATTATATTTAATTAAACCACGTCTTTGTATTGTCTGTTTTGACCATGTTATATTAACTTGGCTGCGAGCATGTACTAGCTACTCACTAACTGTGAAAAAGATTGTTACACAGGTAACACATAAACAAGATACATTTACGTATTAATAAGCAACTCCACATTTTAATACCTCATTTTCGTGATTACATATAAAATTTAATTCCAAACGGAAGATAGCAAAAAAAGGTGAACATACTTTATGACAACTGCCGACTTGCAGTCGGAACACCTTTTGCAAATGTCAGCCATTACACTAACTATGTTTGTTTTCATTAGCCCATCATATCATCTGTATGCTATAGCGATGCAGACATACATAAGCAGCATATGTTAAATACCATGATACCCACACGTGTAAAAATCAATCGATGCCTTTTTTGATTTACACAACTGCATTATCCTTTTTGTTTATAATTTATTTCTTTACCAGTTTGTGAATACACACAGTGGACACGTCCGTGGGAACTAAAATGGGTACATACTACCCATAAACGAGATATATAGATGAACAGGAAAAATGGGGGGAAAACAAATTGAATTTCGATGACACTTCAATTGGCTGACGTCGACGGACTAGAGCTTTCAACAAATATACAACGCGATACGATTTTTTCTCGCCTATCCTAAAATATGCTGAGCAGTGCGAAGACGCCGTAGAGCAGAGCGCAGGGGTACGCGACTAACAACAGCTGATGGTCCATCTGCAACGCCGTCACAAACAGCTTCGACGCCGTGATGCTGCACCAGAACACCGCCACGCCGACGAGGAACGTTCCAAGCGCCCCCTGCAGGGAGAGCGCGATCGAGACGAGCGAGAGGATCGCCATCGGCAGCAGGCAGTAGCCGAGCACGCTCATGACGCAGTAGATCGACACGGCGGCCGTCGACATCAGGTTCAGCAGCGCGTACATCGAGAGGCAGCCGAGCGCGCCGATGCCGTAGATGTAGCCGAAGTGCACCTTGCCGTGGAGCAGCAGCGAGGCGCCGAACGCGAGGCAGAAGACGAGCGGGCCGGCGAGGTCCGTGTCGTTGATGATGTCCGCCCGCGTCTGCTTGAGCGGATTCAGCACGGCGACCGTCTTCTGGTAGATGTGGTCGAAGTTGATGCCGAGCTCTTCGAGCAGCGGCGGCTCGTCGTCGAAGCCGCCACCCTCGCCGTACGCCGGGCACGCTGCCGGAGTCGCGATGCTCCCGCCATAACCAGGCTGCTGCGGCGGCGGCGGCAGCTGCTGCTGCCGAGGGGGCACCGAGTAGGCACCGGGATATCCCTGCTGCGGGTTGTCGTAACCTGAAGACCAACGTCTCGGTGTTATTGGCACGAACGTACGTTTTGTTACGCGAGTTAATTCGTTTTTTTATAATTCATTAAGCTATTATTGTCAGAATCCGTGCTATAATTTAAGGCATTGAGATTTCATGCTCAGTACACTGTACTATGTAAGTCCTTGAACATTGACCAAATGCTACAGCTAATTAACCAATTTTTACAGCTAATTAACAGCAAATTTTTTATTTGTATACAGTCCGACCTCCTTTATCTGGCCACGTCGGGTCCGGCACCCATCCGGATATGGGATTTCGCCGGATATGAGAGTTATGCTCAAACACAGCATTTCTATGCAGTTCAGTAGAGTTTATGCATGTGATAATGTATTTACTCGTTGCTATGATTAATTATTTGTAACAAACTGTCGTGTTTTATGGTTTATATGAAATGGAAATAAAATGAAATCAAACAGAAATTTTCCCACTTCGGTTTACGTTTGTTTCTTTTGTGCTGAGATCTAGGGCTGTAACGATCGATACATTCGCGGTATTGTATGCCTAGGCTAGGGCTGTTACATGTGCGCGGCAGCGGCACCTTTGATTGAAGTACGAGGCTCGATCGATCGCGAGTGCATAGCGAGGTAGTGCGTTTCACTAACGTCCGCTAGTAAAAGTTGTTCGTTAACGGACGAAAGTTGTCCGGAGGCATAGCGGACAACACACGCACGCACGCACGCACACACACATTTTTGTTCATTCATATAGTATACAATGTATATATCTTTTATTCCTTGGTAGTTTTTACAGAATCAACAAGTGAGTACGTATTCGTGAAATATTCATATTAATATGGCCGTATATTTATACATGTACATGTACATGGGCGTTTGCTCTTAGGCCTAAAAAAATAAATGATGTGTTTCCGAGAACGGTCTTGGAAAAATTAGGTAGGGTAGGTAGGGATTTTTTTTTTTTTTACGGTTTAGTACCAGTAGTATATACTGGACAACGTTGTTCCTATGACATTGTATACAGAATGTCAGTGGTCCTGCCGCTTGCATAAATCGAGTTTCACCTGTACTGCAGTGAACAGGGACATCAACAATACCGCCGATAAGAGATCGACGCTGTTCGAGCTGCGTAGACAACTGGGTTGTGATTGTTGGGTCCAAATACGGCGATATACATTGCATCTATTAAACTGAAAATGTTTGCTTGTTTTTTGTTTTGTTTTTTATTGACATAATATCACATATTGACATAATATCACATATTGACATATCAGATTTTATTTTTTTGATAAATTTTGATTTTTTTTTTGAAAATGGAAAAAAAAGGGTCGGCCCCTGTTTGCTAGGTAGGGTCGGGTTCTCGGAAACACATAATTTTTTTTTAGGCCTTACGGTAAGTGTGTTTGTTTTGTGTATGTGATAGCTGTGCGCTCTTACGATAATCAATGTGTACATCGCGCGAGTTTTGAGTGAGCTTTGAGCAAGATTTTTAGGTGGAAATGAATGAAAAAACAGAGAACATACACTGCGAGATAGCGGCCGGTTAATAGAGATTTCCGGATAACGGATGGCCAGATAAAGGAGGTCGGACTGTATTTAGGCAATTATCCATACATACATTACTGCTGATTTGTACATAATTAAAATGTGCAGCTATATAGCTACCAATGATGCATACAAAAAAGTATGACAGGTGCATTATATATATCACATATTACTAGCCTGGTGTCTGAGAATAGTCGAATGTTGCAAATCCTTGGTCCGTTCCAGCGGCGAAAGGATCACCTATTTCATACTGCTGCTGTGGGTTTTCCCAGCCATAGCCTGTATTATAGAACTCCTGCTGCTCGTTAGGAAACTGCCCTGACATCGTCACACTGTGTCAGTAATTCTACATCTGAAATTACAGAAATATATTAAAATCATGACAAATGCAATAAAATCGCACAATACCATGTAAGAGCAATAGTACAATATTAGATACCAGTTTAACACACTTTCCAAAATACAGAAAAAATGTGTAACAAGGATTACCATGAAAATCATGACATTGTAAGCAAGTTAACCCCAGACATTTCTAGACTTAACAATGTTTAAATCTATTATTTGCTCCTAAAATTCTGAAAAATCCATCATACCATTTGGGGTTTTAGAATAGCAGTTTTCTGCACCTGCATGGAACAATGATAAAGTTGAAAGAACAATGCACTAGTAGTAATTCTAATATTTATACAAGTACTTCACAATTTGATACATGAAAATCAGTGAATTAATTTTTAACACCTGCGACCTCATAAATATTGTCCATTATTATTATTATCCGATATAGCTCTAAAAACTATATTAACTATAGTTCTAACAGCTGCTCTGCATATTTTGCACGAGTGAGAGGAAGTCTGGAGACTGCCTCATTACGTTAAATGACCATTATGTTACTTCGGAGGTGGATGACAAAGGAAATTAAAAATAGAAAGAGACAAGTAGGAAAAGAAGAAGTGTAGAAAAGAATGGTATATAAAAAAATTAAAAAACACAGAACTGTCACAATGCTGTTGTGCCATTTAGTGGACGTAGAACACTGACCTTCAAATATAAACAAAGATGGAGTAGATTGGTTGAGTACTTGTTCTGTAATCGTGTGAAATCAAGCGAGCGTCGAGCGAATTTTGCGATCATGCTTTCCTACCTGCTCTTTTATCAGAGTGGCTATATGCCCGTCAGCCGGCATATATCTGACGACTGCCGGGCACGGTCTTCGATTTCCTAAATGCCCGGCAGTTTTTAATTTTCAGCGTTATCTCAAGTAAACAAGGGTTAGGGTTAGGGTTAGGAACTGCCGGGCATTTAGGGAATCGAAGACCGTGCCCAGATGCCAGACATATAGCCACATCGCTCTTTTATTCTTGTTGTTTGTGCACAGCGGTGTGTGTGTGTACTTGTGCGTACTTTTGTGTTGCAGAAGAGCATTTGAACGGCATTTACAGGAAATTATCGGCAATAATAGGCGAAAGAGAGTAGAGAAACATTAAGACTTTGGTAGTACATTTCGTGTTTATTTACCATTGTTTTTTTTATTGAGACGTCCCAAGTGCCTGTGCCTGTGGCCTCAGCTATCAGTATCGCTGAGAGGGTCTATGTCCCCCGAGGTACTGCCGGAACGTACCCTGGTACTATCTAACATGCCGGACCGTACCACGCCTACTCCACTAACGAGTCTAGGGAGTCGCCTACGCCTACTCCCTAACCCTAACCTTAACCCTAATCCTAACCCTAATCCTAACCCTAACCATATCAAATAGTGACCAGGGTACGTTCCGGTATACCGGACTGTACCCAGGGTACGTTCCGGCAGTACCCTGGGGGACATAGACCCTATGAGCATCAGTATCAACTCGTATCTTACTACCTGCATACATTTTACATGGGTACTGACTACTGTCTCACTGTTGACTTGTCACACTTGAACTTTACTTGACTGTAGATAAGATAAGTAGGCCTACCGCCACACTTGAAAGAATCTGTAGGCTACTTAATAAATAAATGGGCGCAAATCCACTTTAGGCACCTTGGCTTAAGTATCACGAAATGATGCACAGATTTCTGTGTATCATCAACTGATGCACAGACTTTCCGTATATGGTTGATGCAAAAACCCTAACCCTAACCCAAATCCTAACCCTAATCCTAACCCTAACCATATCAAATAGTGACCAAGGTACGTTCCGGTATACCGGACCGTACCCAGGGTACGTTCCGGCAGTACCCTGGGGGACATAAACCCTATGAGACTGGGACCGTAAATTA